TGTCGGCGTGTTCTGTCTCGCCGGAGCGCCGCCAGCCACCATGGTCGCCATCGTGCAAGCTGCAGTGCGGTAGAGATTCATCTGGTGTCACCAGAGTGTGCACGAGGGTGTGGGGATCTCGTCGGGGTAAGTCCGTCGTAAAGGGGACCTCACAGGTGGCGAGAACCCCCCGGCCGAGTCCATGCCACCGCATGGTCAACCCGGCCAACGCTATTCTCACGACTCGGGGCCCTTATCGATCCTGATGGGTAAGGGGGTTGGGGTGAGAAATGTTTTTCTTTGTTTTACCTTTTCAAAAAGTTAAATATGTGCTGATCTTGTTTAATTCATAGTAAATAGTAGAAGTGTGTTAAAAATATGAAATTTTTTTGTGTAGCGTCCTCATGATGTGCTCTATCTACGAAAAATATGAAATGATGAAAATCAATAGTTTTTGCATGCTTAAAAAGTACCTCTTTTAATTAATAAATGCACCTTCCATGATTTTTATAGGTTAAAATAATAATCTTTTAATCATGAAACTTTTTGTGTAAATGTAATGTGCAATAACCTAGTTCCACAAAGAGTTTGGTGCTGTTTTGATAATTGTTAATTATTATTTATTATTTAATAAATGCTAAATGATTAGGGTTAATCATGAAATGATTTAAGTGTGATTTTGGATTGATTGTAGACCTTGGGACACAAACACCTCTGATGTTCCTTGGCAATTTAATTACTTGCTGGTTGTGTTTATAATCAACTTGTTAATAATAATACTAATATTGTTTTGTGAGTAATTAACTTAATTTTAATGCGAAGGAAAGTTGTACTCAAGTTTGTTAATCTTGTTTGAGTTCATCCATGCACTTGCATACATCTTTCATCCATCATTTTTATTTGCATATCATCATGTCAAGCATGCATCTTTTATCACGTGTAGTGACCGAAGGCGAGGAAGTAACCATTGATCAAGTTCTAGAGGAAGAGAATCCACCTATGGAGGTTGGTTTCGATATTTTGGTTCATCAGGAGAACCTAACACCTTTACTAACCAATGCAAGCCCCGGAGCATTTAAACCCCTTCCTTGTGATTTACAAATGTTATTACACTTTGAGTCCTATGCTTTGAGCATTAAGTTATTAGGGTTTGGTTGATTACCAACTACTGCATGCTTGCCCTGTTATTCCCAATATCATCCTTGTTATCTTTTTAGTATGACAGGCTAGTAATGCTTAGCCATGCTTAGCTAATTAGAAGTTGAATGATGAGTTCATCATTCGCAATAGTTCTATACTATTGAGATGCCTTGAAAACCTAATATGAATTGATGAATATGGAGACCGGATGGGACATGGGATATGTCTCTGGTGGTTAAGTCGATAGGGTTGCCTGGTCATGCTTGTCCCGTTTGTGTCAATTAAGGACTGATCGTTGTAGGGCCGCTTGTGATCGTGACTTGTAGTACTGGCCACATACTCCGATAAGCCTAATATCTTGGCTATTCCATTATGGGAAAGGACAACCGTGCACTGGGAGTGGAGAGATGGCGGCGAGAGTAGCGTGTACCCACCCTACTAGAATAGGGTAGGGCGGTGGAGTACTGTGCTCTCGGGTGGCGCAAACCCATTCCTGTTTTGGAGGATCTGAGTGAAGGTTGATATATGTAGGTCTGGTACCTACTTATATCGTGTGGTTGGGAATCCCCAGCTGAGTTTTAATCGATTCGAATCGCCGCTGCTTCTTGGAGAAGAAGACTCGATCAACTAAACTACATTGTAGTTAATAAATGGAACATAGTTACTTATGGATATAAGGTGAACTGAGATGAGGTGTTTAAAGAAGTGATTTATTTAGATTAGGTGCAAACTGGATCCTGATAATGAATTAATCTACAGCTAAAACATTGAAAGTAAGGATCTACTCGTAGTAAGCTTTTATGCAAAAGCTATTCTTGATTCTAGTTAAACCCTTTTTGTACCCTGTAAGCCTGCATACCCTTGGAGTCTTTTCTTTTCGTCGGGTAAGTCTTGCGGAGTACAATTCAGTACCTAGGGTTTCTTAACCCCTATTGCAAGTGAACCCTAACAGCATATAGGCTTTTATCCCTGTTGTATGTCAGTTCTAGAAGACGATAGCCAGCAGTAGCTACGTTGTGCTCTCATCCTTGGGCTAGGTGATACCTTTATGTAACGAATAAAGTTGTGTTAGTCATGTATCCTACTTCATTTGAGAATGCAAAAACTTATGGTTTGTAAAACTTAAATAAATGGTTTTTAAACATATGGTTTGTAATATTTCCGTTCTTTAATTTTGATGTAATATATTTGTATCAACTGTTATAATATTGCAATGTCTTCTGTAATGATCCTGATCGGATGTGAAAAGTGGATGATTCGGAATCCCCGAGGACACCTGACAGACTACCGGAGTTGTGTGAGTCCCACGGATAATGGTCAGAAGTCTGTAAGACAATGATAGGTGCGTGTGAGTCATCATAACTCGGGCGGTTTAGGTGGTAGAAGACCTCTTGTCTTTGTTGTGTTTAAAAAAATAGAGAAATTTTGATGTGGGACATCGGACAACATGGTAAACAACAAAAATTGATGAGTATCATTATGAAATCAACGATTATTTGCTATAAGACATTTAGGTTTAAATTCTTCACTTGGTACAAGCACTTTTATTCATTAAATATATTTCAAGAAAATAGAAGGTTTAGGTGGGGAAGTGTGTTTTAGAAATTTTGTCTTGGGACATCGGACAACATGGTAAACAACAAAAATTGATGAGTATCATTATGAAATCACCATTATTTGCCATAAGACCTTTGATTATTTTTATTCATTCTCGATTTCAAGAAAGAGAAGGTTTGGGAACAAAGCACGTCCTTCCGCCTCCACATTTGCCACCATTGTCGTCTCCTCCATCTTCGAATCCCACCCCAGCGCCTTCACAAAGCACGTCCTAGAACGCTCCACATTTGCGTGCTCTCCCGCAGACGCCACGTCTTTCATTGATGATCATGAGCTTCTTACTGCTGTTGCTGACCACATCATGGAAGGAAGCATGGGGCTAGGTGGCGGTGCCTGGACGAGCCAAGCGAGGGCCCATTGAAGGATGGGGAGCAGGGTAGGGCCAGGGGTGGAGGGAGGTATGTCGTTTCACACTTGATGTGAGACGTTACCATCATGCCAAACCGAGATGAGGACAAGGGCGAGGACGATGTTGCCAATGCGGATAACATGGTGGATGAGGATGAAGTGTAGGGGTCAAGGCGGTGGAGAGGGGTCGGGAGGCGGTGATTTGGTGGTTCAGGCATTCCTGCAGGGGTGCGTGGGAGGGGAGAGGAGGCAGGGGCGTCGCTACATAGTAGAAGAGGGTGGGCTGGAGTGGCGGTGGCATGGGCATGCTTGGGCAGGGGTGCATTGGAGGTGGGCAAGCGTCGAGCACGAGCTAAAAGGGAGACAGGGAGGATAGTGGTGTTCATCGCTGGAGGTTGAAGATAGGGGTAGAAAAGACATTTTCCCTACCTTCTCTCTCTTGAAATAAGATAAATGAATAAAAGAATCGGTGCAATGTCTTACGGTAAATAACCGTGATTTCATTATAGTACTCAACAAATTTCATCGTTTGTGGTGTGAATTAACCAATACCATGTTTCTCTAATGTCCCACAACAAAATTTTCCGAAAAATTATTATAGGTATAGTGCGCATTACAAAATCTAACATCTATCCCCATTTCTTTTCTTAGACACCCAGCAAAAAGAAAATAAGGAACTCCTTATTGATTATGTGCCCTGTGTATACAAAAGCTGATGTAAGCAAAGCCATATAGCTACCTCATGTACAACAAAACCTGGTATCAGAGATCCTCTAACTATTGAAAGCGGACAAGTTTGTCCTCTAGCTAATTTATTTTAAATAAATTAGGAAAACATGAAACTAGTACCATTTTTTTGTTTTTTTAAATATTTATGTATTACTGTGACCTACTTTGGTTAACTACTTAAGTTGTCTTTTTTGGAACTTTATAAGTTGGAACATAAATAAATAAGTTCAAATAACTTTATAGAAACCACTAACATATAGACAACATTTCTAAGAACAAATGGTGCTAGTTTTGTCTTTTTATGATTAAAGATAAATTAGTTATATTTTTTCTAGAGATAAACCAGAATTTTCATTATTGACAAGTATAAAAAAACCAAATTTGGAACCAACTAGACGAGCAAATTTGTTCGGTTTTAACTGTTGGAGAGTGTTCAATACCCAGGTTCAGAGTTCATTACCGAAAATTAGATTGTCACACAAGTTGTAGGTTGTAAAATAAACTTTTACCTCTTTACAAAACAAACATAGAAATTTGTGACCTGTGTAACAGTGATACACTTCAGATGATTTAGCAAATTGTATTTGTAATAAAGCCCAGCTCGGAAACTTGGGTGAATTCTGTAATTTATTGAGTGGAGGTGGAAATCATGAGGCTCAAAAAAAAACGAATGAAATTCATAGTAGGCTTCTCTAAGTCCTAGAGTTCGGATCCAATGCGCTAACTTAACAGGCCCTCGTAAAAATTGATCCATGTATTGCTATTTTTAGTTTCTTACCGATCACAGATTGTACTTGCACTTGGACTTGTATACATGCTGACATACGTAAAAAGATGGTGAAAGAACAGGGAAGAAAAGTCTGTACACAATTACAAAGCCTACGCGGCTACGCAGAAGAATGCCGTCACCCAACAAATTGGGAACAGATCAAGGCTGGCCATGGCTGTTTGCTCTATTATCTGCACTTTCTGCAGCCACCATGCTCCACCCCAAGCTGTGGAATAATGCTGTGAAGCGAGGAGCTGAGGTACCTGAATTCATTCTCTTCTCCAAACTCTTCGATTCATCAAGGAGACGAGCCCTGATCCTCTGATCAACCTCACGTTGTGCGATTAACGACTGATTCATCCAAACTTGCTTGAGGACGAGCACTTCACTCCACTCCACAACCGTGTCATGGCTGGATTCATGTCTTGAAGGAACTGTTAGAGCTGGCCATGGACTTGAGGTCCTTGTACGGCCCCGGCACAAGCTCCTGCTCCATCCCGGCCCGTTTCCTCTTCCTCTTCTCCCACATCCTGTAGCCCCAATACGCTCCGGCCGCAGCCAGCGCCACGAGGACCAGCGACAGCACAACGATCGCGGCGGTAACGCCCGGCGACATGCCTCGCCGCGCCGAGGCCGAGCTCGCCGTCGCCGCCGACTTCCTGACCTTGAAGTAGCCCACCATCCGGTCGTCGGCCTGGTACACCAGCGTCTCCACGGGGAAGTCGATGAGGTAGCAGTACCCGCTCGCGCCGTTGTACACCGCGCTCCAGCAGGTGCAGTTGCCCGCGCACGCCAGCTCGCACCCGTCCGCCGTCGTGTTCGTCTGCAACGGCTGCAACGGCAGCTCCTCCTTGTACGCCACGGACACCCGCGTCCGCCGCACCACGTCGAACTCCAGCTGCCGCGACCCGTTGCTGCAGAGGTCGCCGGTCTCCTCGGCGTGGCACGGCGGGGAGCTGGTACTCGTGCCGTTACTGTCGAGGCATTGGCACTGCGCGTTCCCGGGGACGCACAGGCCGTACGCGCCGCACGACGTCGGCAGCTCGCACCGCTCCGCGATGGCCTTGTAGTCCGACGTCCACGCCTTGGCGTCGCTGGTCCAGTAGTACGCGCGGAGGTTGCCGTCGTCGTCCAGCGTCATCCGCCGGAAGACGCCGGCGAGGTTCAGGGCGAACGTGTCGAACGACAGCACGTCCACCCTCTGGCTGCCGCCGCCGCTCTCGAGGTAGAGGCCGAAGAACCCGAGGCCATCGAGGCGGCCGTAGATCGGTGGCGCCGTGGCGTTCTCCGGCTGCGCCTCCCGCGCCGTGTGCTTCCAGTACATGGGCGCCGTCGCCCGGCCGCCGTCGAACTCCATGTGCAGCGCCATGTACGTCTTCCCGAGCCGCAGCGCGAACCGGCGGTTCGCGGAGATGAGCGGCGACGACGAGGCGGTGAAGTTCTGGTCCACGACGAGCGTGTCGGAGGGGTGGTCGAAGCTCTGCCACGCCGGCAGCGGCCTCGCGTACCGCTGCACGACGAGGTTGGAGGAGTTGAGCAGCGCCACGACGTCGCCCGCGGTGTTGAGCGTCCGCCACAGCACGGCGCCGTCGTGGGCCGTGAGGACGAGGCTAGTGTCGAAGGCGAGCGTGGCCGGGCGCGACCAGTCCCCGAGGTTGGCCGGCGTGGCGCGCCAGACGGGGAAGGAGGACGGGAGGTGCACCACGGCGAGGTCCAGCGACGCCGGGCCCACGCGGAGGAATCCCAGGGCGAAGACGGCGCTGGTCGCGTACAGCAACGGCTCGAACGACGCCGCGGACCCGGCCACGTGCGTCGCGGTGAAGCCGTTAATGAGCTGCGTCGTGAGCTCTTCTTCTCCCTTGGCGCCATCGACCGGGAGCACCGCTGGTGATCCCACGCAGAGGAGGAGGAGGACGACGATGGCAGCGGCGATCGCCGGATCACACTTGGCTTGCCTCATTGTGGAGAAAGAGAGGATGAAAGTCAAATGTTCGAGAGAGTGTGCATACTAAATATGTGCATTGGGATTGGGCGATTGGCATAGGCATTTTGGGGAAGGTCAACGGTGTGGCTGCACTGCTGCAGGCAACAATGCCTCTCTCTCCATTCTGGTCAGGCCTGTCTCAAGTTGTCCATGGCCAATATAAAATGAGGCAAATGCATATGCCCCATGTTGTGGGCGAGATGAATGTTCATCAACTGAAAACTTTGCATCGTCTCCAAGTTGTAAGTTGCAACAACAGGCAACAAAGTGCATAGTGGTATGAACTGGCAAAAAGGTCAACACAAAGTTGCCGCCCAAAAGTCAACTACCAATTTTTTTTTCAAAAACTAAAGTGTTTTGTTAAAAAAAGGTCAACTACCTGTTCTACTTGTACTACCTGCCTTTAATTTCTCCCTAGCTTTTCTGAATTATGAAGTGATGTTACTACACTCTCTGGATCTGGGCGTAGATTGCAGATTGCTGATGGTCCTAGTTCGTTCCTGTGTGCTGAATTTGGCAATTGTTAAAGATTCAGGTGTCACAATCCTTCAGTTCGTCAGCTCGTGTTGGCAACCGGTGAAAGCTTTGCGTTGTACGGGCGTTTACTTGGATTAATGTACGTGGAGGAGCCCATGGTTTGTTCATGTGTGCGTTGACCTTGAACGGATCAAATTGGGACTGACAGAATGTGTATTATTACTGTATTCTTATTAGCAATCTTTTCTTTTTAGAACAAATGTTTATCAGTCCCTGACATTGGGATCTCATCAACATATTGTATTTGAATAAACACCAATCAGTCCCTTGTATGTCAGCGCACTGAACAATCATATCGTATCAGTGTGGCCGATTGCATGTGGCTTCTAAGAAGGATCTAATCCAGTGTGCACATCTCATTATCGCGTGGCTTATCTATTTTTCAGTTCAGATCTTAATGCTTACTAGTACTAGCTTGCTCATGAAAATGACAGTGGGGCACCTTTCTTGGGTGCATGCATCATCAGGCATCAGATTTTCACACTTCAAAGTGATTCATCAAACAATTTCGGCTTCTCTGGCTCTCTCTGCAAGGAACAAATTCAGTACCGTGAATATTGGAGCCCGAAATGAGAAATTGACTTTGCTTGTAGCTATTTGGTTGACTTTTATGAGCTAGTGTTTTTTTTAAGGGTAAAGTCCAATTTACAACCTTGAACTCTTGTCAAAGTCCGGATTTCAACCTCGAACTCCAAAACCGGAAACCCTCAAACTCTTGAAACCGTTCAACTTCCGACCTTTGGGCCGGTTTTGGTGTATGAATAGTAACTTTTGATATTTTCGGGAGACGCCGAAATTTTATATTATTTTTTGAGCATCTTAACGTCCTCAAATGAAAAACTCAAAACTACAAAGTTGTAGATCTCGTTGAGAGCTATAACTTTGGTATAAAAAGTATTTTCATTTAACTCCATATAAATAATATATTAGTGCTCTAATGCGGCAAGCGCTAGTAGGCGATTATTATGGTGCTGAAATTTTATATTATTTTTCGAGCATTTTACTGTCCTCAAATGAAAAAAATTAAAACTATAAAGTTGTAGATCTTATCGAGGTCTACAATTTACATATAAAAATTATCTTCATCCGACATCGTATTGAAGGGTTTTCTATTTTTTGAAATTTGAATCTCATCACGCGACAAAACAATATTGTGGCGCGATAAAATAGAAAACCCTTCAATACGATGTCGGATGAAGATAATTTTTATATGTAAATTGTAGACCTCGATGAGATCTACAACTTTATAGTTTTAATTTTTTTTTTATTTGAGGACAGTAAGATGCTCGAAAAAATAATATAAAATTTCAGCACCATAATAATCGCCTACTAGCGCTTGCCGCATTAGAGCACTAATATATTATTTGTATGGAGTTAAATGAAAATACTTTTTATACCAAAGTTGTAGCTCTCAATGAGATCTACAACTTCGTAGTTTTGAGTTTTTTCATTTGAGAACGTTAAGATGCTCAAAAAAATAATATAAAATTTCGACGTCTTCCGAAAATATCAAAAGTTTGAAAGTTGAACGGTTTCAAGAGTTGGAGGACTAAAGTTATTCGGTTTTGAAGTTCGAAATTGAAATCTGGACTTTAGCGAGAGTTCAAGGTTGTAAATTGGACTTTACCCCTTTTTTAAAGAAGCAGACCTTCTGCAACTTGGAAGACAGCTTACATTAGCAGCTAAGTAATTATCTAGAGGAACACCGTGTGATGCAACTATATTAACATGTCAAAATGCTAAGTGTTAGATATTATTTGGCAAAACAACTTCTCATAGTATAAAAAGATAAAATGATCCTAACAATCTTTTCTTTTTTTTCACCTTTATTTGTTTGGGTTATTTGGATCGGCACCATTACAATTCTCCAAACTCTGAGATGTACTATTAAAATTCATCTATTTTGAGATTTACCATTATAATTCAATGTTTCACTGAGTTTTGCCATTTTATACGTCTTCCAGCTGCTTGGGTCCACTGGCAGGCGTATGCTTACTGTTCATTTTGTTGTATGGACGTATTCCCCCCCCCCCCCCCCATCTCGAAGTTGAACGCCCCCTGCGCCCGTGGCCCCGTCTCACGGTCTCAGTCCGTTCACCACTCCTCGCGCTCACTCTGTCTCTCACTCTCTCATCCTCCCGACGCGGCGACGGCGGCAGAACCCTAACCCTAGCCGCCGGCGTCCTGGAGCCCGCGCCCGAGTCAACTGCCGCCGCCGCCCAACTCCACTGCCACCGCCGCCTGCGGCTGCCGACCCGGCGGTGGTCCGCGTGGACGCCAGCAACGTCGCGCGGTTGGGGGCGCCCAAGCCCGGGCCGAGGCCGCGGCAGCTGCTCTCGCTGCCGCCGTTCCCCGCAGGGCCGGACCCTCTCCCGGGAAGGAAGGCGGCGCCGCATCGCGTGACGGCGGTGAGCTGGGTGAAGCACTATTTCGCCGACGTGCCGCAGGAGGCTGTGCAGGCGCACTTCAACAGGAGAATGGTGTCTCCCTTCCCTTTTTGGACTGGGCGACTGGCATTCCTGACCGTTGCAGCTTTGATTCAGTGTGATCACATTTTTCTTTCGATTAGTATTGATTCAGAATTCTTCGACTACTAATGTTACCATAAATTTCAGTTACTTGCATCAGAACTTGCCTTTCTTTTCTGATAAGAGCAACAGAGCTTCTTTGATATGCCTTTGCCAGAGTGGTTGTATCTTCATAGGATCAGTTGAACACATATAACTTTCCTGAGTTAATGTCATAGCAGCCTGCATCCTAATAAAGATGAGATTGAGTACCTGAGGAGGCTTGTCATCCACAGGGTAATTTTGTTTGTAGGTTGTATTGCTAATTTTTCATGGACATATATAGGCTACACGACTCCTGCATTAATACAGAAAATGTTGTTTTCTGTGGATAATTGGCCTCTGTATGTCAGTATTCCCCAAATTGGACATATAGTAAATAAATGAATACATCAATCTGTCTGCATATGTGTTAACTAGAAAAGACTACTCATGATTTGTTAAGCTTGTATGTTGATAAAGGTGTCAGCTTGTCATCGTTTTAGTGTTTCAGATTTTACTGCTTTCGTTTTACATGATCATCATTTTAGTGTTTCAGATTTTACTGCTTTCGTTTTACATGATTCAGGTTCAACGCAATAAGCTAAAGCTTTTCAATCACAGGACTCTGCTATATTGGTGCTTAACAAGCCCCCCAAAGTGCCTATGAAAGGACATTTGCCAGTACATAAGAGGCAGTAACAGAGTATCGGGTGATGGGGCCAACCATTAATGGGTGCTCATGGATCGAGCTACGCCCATTGACTGGGCGGAAGCACCAGGTATCCTCATAATGTTTGGATTTTGTTTGTGCTATATTTCTGCAAAATGTATGGAGATGATCCACACTTTAGTATATCCTATCAACTATCATGCCTTTCATTTGTTCTCAGAAGGGCAGTGTTCTTTCAAAAGTCCCTTTGCTACACCTGCATTGCCGGGAGATGGTCATCCCCAACATTGCAAAGTTCCTGAGCAGCACTGGAGAATGGCACGAAAACGGCGCCCCATGGACCAAGGAGAAGCCCAACCTCCTAAGATTCGTCGCACCAATGCCTCCACACATGAAAATTAAAATATTATGTCTTCGTACCTTGTGTAATCTCTGTATTTTTGGTTCCATGCTTCTCTTCTATAGCTTCTCATCTTAACCCGAAGTTCCATAGAGATATACTGCTGCTTAGGTAGTTAAGTTGTTTGTTGAAGATTCTGAGATTGTAGCCACCATTTCTGAATCAATGTACAAACTATTGATGCAAGTATAAATCATTTTCCGAGAGTATATAAATCAGTCTTGGTATGTCCGTTGCAAACTCCTAGATATATGAAGCTGCTGGCAAGCACATTTTAATCACTGAAATTTACAATCTAGCACTACACTACTGCTAATACTGTTACTGAACTGGTTAGCATATCAGTAGTTCCAGAAAACTTGGTTTCTCCTATGCTGCTTCCTGAGGTAGACGCCGAGCAGCTTGTAGTACGTCCACCGCCTCTTCCCGGCGGTGGCCTCCAGCAACACCTCGGAGAAGGCGTGGAAGCCGCCCTTGCCGAACGCCTCGAACACGATGGCATCCGTGGCCACGACTGGCTCGGCGTTGCCGTCAAGCCGGTCGAACGCGAACGTGAGGTTCCGGGCGAGGCGGCGCTCGAGGTAGGCGTCGACGAAGCAGCCGTGCGTGACGAGGTCCGGCGCGACGCCGTCGCGGCGCATGTGGTCGGCGCTGAGGTGGAGGTCCCAGAACATGCACATCTTGGAGAACGCCGCGGCGCGGATGTTGAAGGTGGTGAGGTCCGGCCGGAACCCGGCGGCCACCATCTCCAGGAACGCGCGCTGCAGGGACTTCATCTTGAAGTTGGCCGCGAAGGAGAGGTACAGGTTCCAGAGCAGGTTGCCGGCGTCGCGCCGGCAGAGGCCGGCGTCGGCCACGAACGCGCCGAGCCTGTAGTACTTCTGCTGGGAGATGTAAGCGGACGCCACGGCGCGGATGGCGCCACGGGTGATGAGCAGCCCGGTCTTCTTGTGCCGGCGGTAGGCCGCCTCCATCTGCGGGATGGTTCCGGCGGCCGCGTAGGCCCGGACGAAGGCGTCCCTGGTCGCGGCGTCGACGCGGAGGCCAAGGTGGCCCATTTCTAGTACGGCGTCCTCCATGCGCACGAGCTCGCCCGCGGCGCCGAGGCAGGAGACGGCGAGGAGTGGTGAACGGACTGAGACGGGGCCACGGGCGCAGGGGGCGTTCAACTTCGGGACAGGGGCAAATACGTCCATACAGCAAAATGAACAGTAAGCATACGTCTGTCAGTGGCCCAAGCAACTGGAAGACGTATAAAATGACAAAACTCAGTGAAACATTGAATTATAATGGTAAATCTCAAAATAGATGAATTTTAATGGTACATCTTAGAGTTATGAGAATTGTAATGGTACCGATCCAAAATAACCCTATCTGTTTTCCTTGTCTCCTTCATCCGCACGACCTCCTTTGTTCCCGATCCAGAGCTTTCTCCCCCGGCGGCCCGTGCTTGTGCCCTCCTCGGTGGCAGCGCCCGCACCTGGTGGCCGAGCCTGCCCATGCCCCTCGACGGCTTCGTGCACGCCCCATCGTGCCGTTGTCCCTCCCCGCACCGGCCTGGGGCAAATCCGATCTCCGCGCGCTGGGGCCCACTAGTGCGAGTGGGAGTTGAGACAAGCTGCTATTTTCATTTCTATCTCACATTCGCCCTTTGTAAGAGAATGTTTCAGGAGCTCCTCAAGTGAAGTTGTTCCATTTTATCCTATTTAGCACAAAACAACTCTTAAAACTTGCCAAACAAGACTTTATTTGAAGAATTAGTAGCTAACGTTAGCGGCTATAAGTAATTTTCTAGAGGAACAATGTGTGATGCCATTATATTAACATGTCAAAGTGAGGAGTCTTATTTGGAGAATTCGTCCCTATCGACAAGAACAAGATAAAAAAACAAAACAAAAGAATGCCGTTCACATCCACTTGCAAGACCAGAAGAGCTATCGCCGCAGGCCGAGGCCATCCTCACTGCCATGGGCCCGTTCAGGCCCACCGTACGCTTACACGGCATCAGCCATGGTCAATTTATTCCACTAAAAAAAAAGCCATGGCCAATTTATGAAGTGCATGGTACTGCATCTGGTTTAAATTGTACATTTAGATATATAAGGTACAGAGTTACTAGCGCTCGGACGTCCGGATTCAACTCCAAATATCGGATTGGAAGTGGTGGAATATGAGAAACAAAACCAACAAAGGGGAGAAGGGCCAGGTTGGAGATGAGTTGCTGCTGACGTACTTAATATGCTTAATGATCTGCGCAAGTCGGAGAGGAAAGGACTAGTCCGACGGGATGGCAGAGAGTCGGCTGGAACGCTCCACCGTCGGGCCAGCTCAAATCAACTGATGGCTCTTTCATTCAGGAGACAATGCAGGGTCGCTGGGGTTCTATTGGGCCTGTTCGTTGGGAAGAATTTGGATGTTTTGGAAGAATGCTGGAGAAATGAGAGAAAAACATTGTTCTGGATGAAAAAAGAAGTGGATCAAGCCGCGTTTAAAAGCACGAGAACGGGTGCTTTCACTGTCTGCGACCGTGATGGTGAAGCGGTGCTTGCAGGGGCCGGTCGCCTAGGATCAATCCCGGATGCGTTCACTGCTGAACTGTAGCGTGTGCTCAGGCATTGCAGGCGGCTGCAGACCAAGGTATTTCGCGCGTGCAGGTGGAGTTGGACTCGACAGTTCTTCAGCAAACACTTCAAATATCCGCAATGGACCTCGCGACCTGCGGTATGCTACTCAGGAACACCCGTGCGTTGTTGAACGAGCATTTTGTTTGCAGTAAGATTATCTCTGTTCCTAGAGCTTGCAATGGGATAGCACATAATTTAGCAAAGCTGGCTATGAGTTGGGACCCGGGTGATTGCCATGTCTGGGCAAGCCCCCTCCTAGAGTTTGTAGTGACTTTGTTCGCTCGTGATGTTGTCGAGCCTATGATCGATAATTCCAATAGCAAGGCCATACAGCCAGGGATTCTATAGAAAAAAAATATCGGATGGCTTGGTCAGATGACATCGCGCGCACGGTCCTTCTCGTTCGTTTCGAGGGGTGAACAAAGGACGATGGACCCAGTTAAGGGAGTGTTTGGGTTCAGTGACTAAAATTTAGTAGGTATGTCGGGAGGATGTTGTATAGAGTATTCGGATACTAATAAAAAAATAAATTACATAATCCATCGGTATTCCATGAGACGATTTTTTAAGACTAACTAATCCGTCATTAGCATATGTTTACTGTAGCAAAACATTATCAAATCATAGACTAATTAGGCTTAAAAGATCCGTCTCGTAAATTAGTCGCAAACTATGCAATTAGTTTCGTAATTAGTCTATATTTAATACTTCATGCATATGTCCAAACGTTTGATGAGACAGTGACTAAAATTTAAGAGGGGCAACCGAACACGCCCTAAATTATTATCTCTGTGTACACACCGGCTCACGTCACCCGCTTGCATCAGGCTCTTAGGTCCACGGACCACGGCCGTTCATTCGCTCGTGTCGTGCCGCCACACACGACAGAGATATGTGACAACGACAACACATTGAACGTAGTTTTTTGCAACATCTCGATACGTCGTACGAAACATAAGAGAGAAACTGCTGCAACGTTACTAAGAACCATTGAAATAAACTAAAATAAGCCATTGTCTGATCATCATCATAAAACAGGCATATGTGACATCAAAAAACACATCTGGATCACCTTCTTCATGTCGATGAAATAGATCAAATCAGCTTATGCAATTTCACATCTAGAAAAAATCATTGCAACAAAAAACAACTTCTTATTTAGGACTTCTACTACCCAACATGAGAGGTGAATAGTAGCTTCCCAAAAAAGAAAATTCAAAAACAAAAAACTTTGGAAATATATTCTGCCAATCTTAAATCAGCAACATGCAACATCAAACAATCAATCACTGCTACACATAAAAGTAAAGAGATGAAAGATCTTAAATCGTAGGAGAAATCATCTATTGCAAGAACATGAAACATTATATAGTGCAATATCTAGCAAAATCATCTATTGAAACCAGGTCCTGCTAGCGCCCGGACATCCCTTCTGAAGCACTAGTGTCGGGCGCCGTCAGGCGGAGCTATATATAGAGGAGGCTAATCACCAGTCCTATCCTTGAAATAGAAGCAGCAGAAAAGACATGCAGCGTTCGATGGATGTGTTCAGCTTAGGCAACGGGTACAGATGACATCGGCAACAAGTCTTCCATGGAGGCATGGAATTAATGGCAGTCCAAACAGGTGCATAGGAGCCAAGAAAATTTTCACCAAGCATTAGGGTCATGTGACAAGTAACATCCATCGATTACATATGTTATAGTGTCATTCCGATCAAGCACACCAAATCATTGATACTATGTTGCAAGTATTGAATTTTAATTGGGCTTGTCCAATTTTATTTCAATTCAAAACAAATAAATTTGAAGGCCCATATTAAGATTTTGACAAAAGATTGACTCAATAAATAGGTGGCTAGTAAGTGTACCTGTTGTGAACTCAAGAGAGACGAAAAGCATGCCATGGTTCACCGAGCTAAGCCACGGTGTGACATGCACGGGCTTGACACGACATGATGTAGTGCGGGTGGGTTGGTTTTGCCACTTAGGACGATTAATGCCGTTTGTTAAAGACTCATCAAATGAGCTGTTACCGAAATAACGCCTGTCTGTAGGAGTGATTCACTATGATAGTTGTTGCTAGAATAACGCCTGCTGGAGTGATTCGTTACGGTAGTTTCTTTATGTTACCCATAGTTGTTACTCCATTTATTCCTCCCAGTACTATCTTGCCCGTGTACCTAAAATTTCACCACACCACCAATGTTCTTTGTTGTAGCTGCTTCCGAGTTTCTCTGTCCTGGGAACACCTACGCGTCCAGGGCGACCTGAAAGCCCATCGCGCCACCAGTATTCTCTGTTGCTGCTGGTTCTGAGTTTCTCCGTCCTAGGGACACCTGCGTGCTCAAGCAACCCGGGAGCAGGCCTCCGGAACTGTGGGGGTGCTTTGCTCGGCCCCCTACCCTTGCTGGGGAATAGCGTGGAGGAGGTAAGGGTGTCCCACAGGAGTAAAATAGCGAAGGTGCGGAAGAGACAGAATATGACGGAATGACAATAAATTGTGGAGTAAATCGCCATTAATTCATCATCCATCATTGTGCCACCCACCAGGTATTTATAGGGCTTACCTGGGGCGTGGCGAAATTAGAAACCGCCCTTGTGACAAAGGAGTTTCTTTACAGGTGCACCGGGGCACAGCGGATATTTTCCCTGCCTGTCCCAACTACTCTCTTGACGGCACAGTGAACGACGTCTACGGGGACCACCATCTTCCATCTTTTTCCTAATGGCGCCGAGCCGACCTTGCGAGGGTCACCTCCTGCTCGGATGGCCGCGTGAATGCTCCCTTGCCCTGCGAAGACACAAGACCGAAGCTACCTTCGTTCGAAGCGTTAGCGCGGCGCTCGTCGTCGAAGAGCGCCCTCGAGCACGACGACGAGGGTTTTTTGTGAGCACCGCCCGTTGAAAACATGGCAGTCTTCCTCTAGGGCATAGGGAACAAGGGTGGTTGAGGGTCCGGCTCCTGGTCGAAGGTGGGGCGGGGTGGCGCGTCGAAGGCGTCCCCCCAACAGTAGCCCCTCGAGGGTTTGGGCCTGCCTCATGGGTGAAAGCAGCGTTAAACCAAAAGGGAGGGCGAGCGTAGCTCGAGCCCGGGGGCCCATGGCCCAAGCGACGCCCCATCTGCCTTCGATCTATGGTGCAGGACCCGAGTTGTCTTGTTTGTCGCGTCTTTTGAGGAATTGGTTGTGTGCATGTCGTGTGGACATGTGGGGGTATAGACATGTTTCCGCGTGGTTTGGTGAGTCATTCCTCGTTTTTTAGGATCATGCCGTGCTTGGTGGGCGGGTGGTTGGGGGTTGGGCCTATATGAGCAGTAGGTGGGATGCGTCCTTCCCCTGGCTCACTCGCTCTCGATTCTTGCTGCTGCGCTGTGCTCTTGTGTGAGAGGTAGGGTTGCGTGTTTGGAGAGGGCTGTTTGTCTAACGAGGGTAGTGTTCGTATTTGGGATCTTGCGCTGAACGCTTCTTGAGATGCGAAGGTATATGACTTTTGCTCCTCTTGAGCTCGCTTTTTGCTGTTGTTGGTGTTGGCGCTGCTGCATTTGACTGTAGTTTGTTTTGGTTTTGGGGC